GTAACAATATATATCTTCAGAAAAGTGCGGTTCATTTGTATTCCGTAACGTAAGACAAATAGTGTAGTTCCTTTAACATTAAGTAATACATGCAGAAGCTTACCAAGATTATAATATATGTGCTGAAATACACTTAGCAGTATTTTAGTTTTTATATTAAATAAAATGAGTTTCGGATCTTGTGGAGTTGCATTCAACAGAAAGGGCTAATTTATTGCTGTTCACTATTTCTCTGTCACACAAACACCAAACCTTTTTTGATTATGCAGAACAACGTTTGTTGTCGTTTAAGCACAAAGCTACACAATAAGCTATCTGTTCTCTTCCCACCACTGGGAGAGGGGGGGGCAGAACAACATCCAGGAAATTCATGTCAGTAAATAATATTGTTGTAACGATTTCTGTCGATAGGTTACTTCTATTTCTATACAGTCATTCTAACGAAAGGGTAAAAGTTTTATTTATTCTTAGAAGTTATACAAATTCACAGAGCTATAGGCCTAACTCACAAATAAAACTAAAAATAATTTGTTAAATTTCTACTTGTATTTACAGTACAAACTAAAAAAGCACTGAACTGACTTACTTAAAAACTAACTAACTAATTAATCAATGGACTACCTAATAGCTCACTGGTATTTTTATATTATTACGACATTTTCCCTCAAGTCTCAAGAAAAGGTCGAAATGTCAAGTCAACTAGAGGACAATTAGGGAATTTCTAGGCGTCACATATACGGCACGTAAAAACTCCCTCTAGCAAACAAAGCAAAACGTCTGAATCAAAATATAAAAATATAGTTCACAACAATATTGACAACAATAGCTCTTTCAAAAACGTTGATTAAATTCAAGAAAGTGTGTGTGTTTTTTTACAATAAATAAACAGGTGCTTAATTCTGGGAGGGAGGGCGCTGTCAAAAATATGTAATGAAGGGGAAAAGTAAACATAAAATCAAAAAAATTGTTTGTACAATTGTTGTGTATACGTAAGTATACTATAGGTATAGGTATTAAATAAACTATGAGGAAATAGTATTACGTAATACTATTACCTTGTACAAAGTTTTCTCCTAATCTATATAAAACAATAGTACTATCTGTTGTATGTCCATGTAACTACTTCGCAGGGTGTGGATGGATATTCAACGAATTTGGCATGTAGATTTGTTGGGTCCATGGGGAGAAACATACAAATTGTCATTTTTGCGTTTTGCAAATTTTATAGGCGATTTTTACCACTACTTCACCTCCTGTGGTTAGATCTTCACTAAATTTGTTATGAAGGTTCATTGGGTCCATGGGGAGGTACATGCAAATTTGCAGTTTCACATTTTGTGTTTTACAGTTTTTATGGGCGTTTTTTACAATTACATATAAAGGAAGCAGCTTTTCATGTCCTCAGAAAACTTTTCATTAACTATTAACTTTCGTCCAGGGACGGGTACTCTAGCTAGTTAAATAAGATGTCATTTCTCCAACCCTGCGTTAAAATCATGGATCCACTACTGTGATCTAAATATACAAAATAAAGTTAAGCATTCACTATTATTCGAAAACAGAGGGACGCTTCAGTTTAGCAAACAACAAGTTGTTGAATTGGTACTTACTACTTATTAAACTTTTGAATTGGTAATTACTACTTATTAAACTTTTGAACTGGTAATTGCAACTTATCAAACTTTTGAATTGGTAATTGCTACTTAGCAAACTTTTGAATTGGTAATTGCTATTTCTAAAACTTTTGAATTGGTAATTGCTACTTATTAAACTTTTGAATTGGTAATTGCTATTTATTAAACTTTTGAATTGGTAATTGCTACTTATTAAACTTTTGAATTGGTAATTGCTACTTATTAAACTTTTGAATTGGTAATTGCTATTTATTAAACTTTTGAATTGGTAATTGCTACTTATTAAACTTTTGAATTGGTAATTGCTATTTATTAAACTTTTGAATTGGTAATTTCTATTTATTAAACTTT